CAGCGTATCAATCCGTGGTTCTTCCCAGGCCGCTTCAAGTTCCTGCGACGGTTTCCATCTGAGAAACAGGCGCGCTTCGCAGTGTGGCTCTCCATGGAGAACTTCTTGCCCCTGCTCGGCTACGTGGCCATGGGCCTTTGGTTGATAACCGTTGAGAAGCAGCTGGCGATTGACCGGGGCGAAGACCCTCTGGACTGGCGGGCCCAGGTCATAAAAAATACCGGAATTCATGCATCGTACCTGGAATATGCGGAGGAAGCTATAAGTTGGGGCGACGAACGCGTCGGGGCGATATATCGCGTTGAATCACCGCAAAACCTCACTCCTGAAGAGCGGGAGCAGCGCTTCGACATCGAACACATGCTCTCCTCAATCATGCATTCCCCGTCTCCAATACCGATATATCTCTCTTGGGGGAAGATCCCACAGTTCATGACTATGAACATGCTCGATGTTCCCGAGCCATTCCAGGACATTGCGCCCGGTCCCAGGGTGCTCAAATCGCTTTACGTTCCCTACGCAGACGACCCGGGAGCGGGAAAACTGTTTTTGCAAGACTCGCTGAGATTCAGCAAATGGGCTGTCGACACCGAGACTTGCGAATGGTACCAAGACCCCTTCGCTCCGCTTGCATCAACGGCTCCTCCCCCGCCTGCATCGAAACCTACCTCGGCTGCTCCCATCGCTCGACATGACAAGCCCTCCGCACCAGCTGTCCCGGCTACGCCCTTCCCTCCCCTTCCTTTGAATAGCCAGCAGAAGAAAGGCGAGACAATCCAGGTGTTCTTCATTCGACGAAGCAAAGGAAACCGGGATAAGATGACAAAGGAGAGCTCCGCCGACCGGCAGCGACGCACATCGCGTGCAGAACATGCACAAAAAGGGGGGGTCCCGTCCAAAGCCACCGTTTTCCTTTGGGAAAAAGTGGATGAGCACTACATCCGCCAACCTCAACTGCGAGGGGAGTTCACCGATCTGTGGGGGGGAATACCCAGGTCCACAGCGTCGGTTCGATCCATTTCACAATCAATGGGACCTTTGCGAGCTCTTCGCCAGCAACGACCCAGTGTTCGGGGAAGGTTTTGCCCAAGCTCCTGATAGCGACGACGAGATCGACCCCGCGGACGCAACCTTCCCCCAAAACATCGACATGGCATCCCAATTAGCTCCAATGGATACCAGCAGGGATGTCGATATGCACGAGGAGCACCCTCGCAACGCTGTGCAAGAGCAGGAGCACGCCAACTTCGCGCACCGTCGCGCATTCGAGTTCCCATACAGCGATTATGTACACGGGGAAGTCCAGTTCGACGCAGACATAACGGAATCCGAGCTTCCGAAGGGAGACCTCGCCACAGCCTCGAAGAACTGCGTGAGCTTGATCTTCCTTAAATTCGGTATGGCGCCCCGAACGGAGGAGCCCGAGTATGAGCCGGTTGCCGCGAATCTCCTAGACGCGCTTTACAAGCGGTTTGGGTTTACAATGCCACCCTCTCCCGACAGGTTCGATGTTCGTGATCCGTCTGAAGAGTGTCTCGAGCCAAAGCACCTGGCCAATGTCATCGGCATGACAGACATCGCCAACCAATTGGCCTCGGACAAGGCTCTGCAGAATATACTCTGCACCTTCCTTGGGCAGTGTCTGAAAGCGCGTACCGTCAACGACATCGACAAGGCCCTCCTCGACTATCATCAGCCTCAGCGCCCCAAGGGAGCACCCATGGGATTCACGATTAACCGAGAGTATCTCACAAGCATGCGCAACCCGGCAGAGCGAATGTATTATTACGTGCTTGCTGAAGACGGGAGCGGGATCGGGAGCGAGGTCCTCTTGCTTCCACACGCCACAGATCTCCTCGAGGTCCTCCGTCAGCGGTGGGGTCCAGATATCAAGGGCATCATAAAACATTTACTAGCTCGAGGTATCCCATTCTGGCTTGCCTACCGTAGCCTTCAAATCATGCCAGAGTCGACCCCAGCCCCGGCGGGCCTGCGGCCCAAAGGTTTCAAAGCAGATACCACTTCGGGTCTAGGATTTCGGCCCCACGGATACAAATTTGACCAACACGACTACAGGGCGTACACTACTCGGCGAGATTTCCAGCTCCTTCACACCCCCCGCGGACGCATTGCCTTGCAGTATGGTGGGGTGGTGGCGCGACTGGCGAGGTCAGAAGTCTCAGACGATGACTTCTTCCGCGGGTTCGACGATGAGATCTACGATGTTGGTGACTGCTTGTGGGATAGAACGTCGAAACACGCGTATTGGTACGACAGACTATCAGACCATGAGATCGATCTACTCTGCGGCGTCTATCACGTCGGGGACCGGTATGTGGTTTTTTTTCTTGTCGGGCCCGTTTATATGTAATGATTTGTCTTGACAGGCCAGAAGAAAGGGAAGGGACGAGGTATGTGTTTTTCTGCCGCGCGCGTCTTTGCTGATGAAAGCGCGGATTAGAAAAAGCCGACACCGACACCGATCAGGCCAGTATCGTCTCATGGTGGCCCAAACCAAATGCGTGGGCGCGTGGAAATCTCGATGGGTCGTGGTGGACGCCACAATGCGAGAACGACTTCTTTGCGAAGCGTCTCGGCCACCTCGCAAATGGTGTTTTCGTTTTGCCACGGCCAAAGCCAGTGGAGATCCAATCTCAAGTTCCGAAAGGAGGTCAAGAAGTGCTGGGACGGGGTTGAGATAGTTTCCGACAGCATTGTGCAAGGGTTGGTTGCGCGCTGTGCTGCATCTACTTAATGATTTATCGCCTTGCAAATATAATCAGGGTATGTTTTTTGACCCTGTCGCCTTCGTTGCGCTGATCAAATATTGCAGGACGATGTAATCTAATACAATAAATCTACATTGACATATACATTGGCAAACCCGCGAAGTCGCGTAAGGTTACATTCAGCATTTGCAAGTCCAGCTGCACACATTTGCCCAATTTATCCCCTCGCACCAAACACCGCTCCACCAATTGCTTCACCCTCTTCAATCCTCCTGCCCTCGAAAGCCGGAACCATTCTTGGTGATTGCGCCGACAGCGCCCGCGACAAGGATGACGTCCTAGCCATGCGCACCGCTTGCGCAATTTCAGATGGATGAGGCGCTCTGCAGGGCCTGTCACCAGCGCGTCGAAAACCTGAGAAAAGCTCACCGATTTTCTTCGGGAAACGCGTGTACCAGGCGCACACGGCACGAATCCCGCCGCACTTGGTATAGGCGGGTAGGCGTTTGTCCACATCGTCCGCTTTGCCGATTTTAAACTCCCCCCTGCCCTTGGACCCTCGGCGCCGCAATAAATATGTCCAGCCTGCGCACTCGAGGTAGCACTTTCGATTCATGAGGAGGTCGTTGATCTCGCGATCAAGGGCGGCGGCGTGAATAGTAGGCATCTGCTCAAGTCAGCCGATAGCGGATACAAAGACCAAGACTCACTCAAGTAATAAAATTCCGACAATCCTTCGTTTGGGGTGCGGGAGGGATGGCCCGCGGGTGTATGCGATGTCGGCGTCGGCGTCGGGACTGGTTCTTGATCGTGTCCGAGGACAGCGGATAGTGGTAGGGTGTCCGGTATTCCTTGGGCAGGCAGTCTGACGCTCCCGAAGGACGAATTCACGCTGCAAGTCGCCGAGTCGGGTTGTGTGACAGCGTGAACCCGCCGTCTTGACCGAGACCCCAAGCTCATGACGGAATTCGCCCGCGGCTCCCACTCTCGGCCCAGGGTCTCCTCTTTTCTCCACAACCACCACCATGCGTCCACTGGGTCCCCTTATACCCTTCCTGATACTGGCTCTGCGGTCCGCATCCCAAGAGGCCGGAGCAGTAACTACCGCTCCCTCAACCGAGACTGGCGCACCTCCTCCCACAGAAACCGTCGTTACAGTTCCTATATCTCAATACTCTTTCTCTGCTTTCCCTTTACCGTCTCAAACTGCCGTCGCTGGCGTTTCCCCGCTCTCAGATCCAAGAGACCCTCCTCCTGTTGGCTCATCGCTCATTCCTGACTTTACCCATGCATGGTGACATGGGTGCGTGGCAGCCGACTCGAGCATGATATGTGCACCCGCTTACTGAACGGTTCAGCGACGCGCATCATCGCGGGGTGGTACTTCGTACACCAGGACGCAGCTGACTACCCCACGACCAACTTCGATGCGTTTAACCCCGCGAACGAAGAAACATCGACGTGCAGGCGGATCACTACAAAGTCGTGCGCGAGATCGGCGCGGCGAGCACGGTGCTGCTTAAGAACACTAACGGGGCACTGCCGCTGAAGAAGCCGCGTAGTATCGTGCTTGTTGGGAACGATGCGGGACCAGGGAAGGTGGGGCCGAATGAGTTCGCGGATCAGGTATGGCCACAGTTTCTGTTTCGTGTCTTTATATTTACTTACCATGCCAAGGGTGGCGTTGACGGAATCCTGGCGATGGGCTGGGATCTGGGTTAGTTTTCCCTTTTCTGGCTCGTTTTCTTGGTAGATAACTGGTATTCAGAACCGCCAATTTCACGTATCTCGTTTCTTGTGCGTAATTTCCTTTCTAGATTGAGAATTTAAACTGACGGAGCTTCATAGCCGCTGGAGGCCATCCAGAGACGCGCCAGAGAAGACCGCACTAGCGTATCTTGGATACTGGACGACTTTGACAAGGACCCGCGCGAGTTATCTGCCTTCTCAGGCTGAACGTCGACTACCGTTACTTCGATGCCTTCAACATCACGCCGTCTCCGTCGAGGCTCAGCGTCGCCGAGCACACTCCGGTCGCGAAACCAATATTCATGGCTGATTTCTGCCCAAAGGTCTTCTCCTCGGTTATCTTTTAGTCGTATGTGGGCTCTTGTACATGGACACTGTGCCCGTTTCTCATTCGCATTCAAATTTCTAGGGCAAGTATCACGTACTCGGTCATGTGTGGAACGTCGCGTTTCTCCTGCGGGCGTGGTTTGACTCCCTTTTAGGATTTCCCTCGCTGAATGGTCGCATATCTCCCCATTTTGCGGCGCTATGGCCGAGTGGTTAAGGCGACAGATTTGAACACTCATTATCTGTTGGATCTCCCGCGCAGGTTCGAACCCTGCTGGCGTCGTCTTTTTGTTTTCACAATCATTTTTGGACTGAGCACCTATAAATACTAGAAATAAGCACCACATGAGGCAAGGGCAGCAGGCAGCCACAGGCTGATAACGGTATTTCAAATGGTGTCAGAAACTGCAAGTAATTTTACATGTAAGAGAAGGTGATGAAAGGACTTGGGAAAGATCACAACTGTACACTAACCGAGCGTCTCAGGAAGGGGCCACAGAGTGCTGGTAGCAGAGTCTGAAATCACTTCCGACAAACCCCCATAATTTTATAAAAAGGGTGATATTGGTCAAAGAAAGTTCTCAGAGTGCTTGCGTGCTAAACCACAGCGTCCACGCGGATGAGGGGCCGTCACCTGTCATGTAACAAGGTCTAGGACTAACCACCGAGTCCCGGATGCAGCCGGAACTTGAGAGTACGGCCCCAATATTTGTCGACGCTTGGGATGACTTATGCTGAAATATAGAACTATCCGTGACCCCAATAACCATACAGTCTGAACCACGTCGATGAGTATATCTAGAACAGAATCAAGGAAGGCGCACCTGGGGGTTTGGTATCCGGGATCGGTGTTGCCATAACACGATTAGAGACACAGTATTATCTTCGCCGGATTCATTTCTTCAAAGCCATTGCAAGGTCCGAGTCAGTTGGGCTAGTTCCTGAATCCGAGGTCCCACAGGCATCTGGGGAGATGGTCTATCCATTCGGTAATAGACTGAGCAGCGTTGAAGTCAATGTGAAGGCCCTGTGTCTAACTGGTTTGGCTTAATTGGGAAGAAAACGAAATGAGAAAGCGTCGATATCAGAACGACGCGAGCAATAGAGTAGGTTTCGAGGCTGACTTGGATGACACGGTACACACATGGCCCGCAAGACGTCGCTCGAGCAGTGTGATCTAGTCTAGCGTTGATCAATCCCCGAGCAGTGCCATATTGGCGGTAGGGGTTAAAGGTCGCCCTAGTGAAGTTGACAGCGGCTCCAAAATATGGGTCTGTGCATAGAAGCAAGGAAGTGGCATGCGGTACTAAATTCTGCTGAAATCTATCAGTTGAGGACACGGGGAAATGTTCGATATGTACAGTGTATGTTCGGGAATAACCAGACAAAGGCCAGAAGCGGCTTCCGCACCCCTCATCCTGAAGAACATTAGCAGGACAAAAGAGTTCACAGCTGCGGTCGAATGACGTCTCCCGCCAGTCGTACAGTCAGTCGTGTTTATGAGCGTCGTTAAAGAGGATTCAAGAATGCCGGATGGCGTTCACGAGGTCCCGCTACCTGCATCTACAAAATCCGCGTGGATTAGTACCTGACCCGCAGCCAGAGAGTGCACAGGTGCATGAGTTGCGCAGTCAGAATCTCAGATCAAGCATATTGCGGCAGCAGCGGTAAAACCAGTTGTGAAAGAGGACCCCATAATGGCGCATAATTAATTGCACTCAGACCCGTGTTCGTTCCGTTGAGCTGGAATCCAGCGGAAGGATACTGCATTTGTAAACATGCGAGACTCGACGCGTTCCAGTGGCTCGACCATTAACAGTGAAACGTCGCGAGTGCATTCTCCATCTAGTTTACATTCACCACCGGCGACGTTTATGAGACGTATTCCCACTGGCCAGGCTCTGGTTTCTCGGCAAGTGGGCTCCCAGCTGAACGCAGGCGTGAACAAAGGGCCAGACAAGGAATGAGACGCGACTCACGCCTTCCACTCGATCATTTGGGAAGCGAGTTTGAGCTCGTCTATGGCAATGAGCAGAGACTCCTCGATGACGCCCTCGTCTAGCGCCTTCTCTGCTGCGGCGATATCTGCATTCGCGGCGTTTACAATGTCGAGTTTCTTTTGTATCAGCGCCTCGGTTGCCTGGCGGTACACGGAGGTTGGTGGGATGTGCGAGAGGGTGGTGAGGGTGTTCTGGTACGTCTGGGAGAGGGCGGGGAGGGGGTCCGGGTGGACTGCGAGACCGTGAGCCCGGTGGAGGACCTCAGCGCCTGGAAGAGTGGACGAGTGAGGCGCAACATAGATGTATCGGATCGGAGTTTGAATATAATATTTGGCCCGAGCCTTTACTTTGCGCACTCCTACGATGGCAGCGTTGGCCGTCGCATTACCGCTCTTCTCGCGGCCGCAGATGACGCGACCGCTGTTGGCCCGCCCATTGTTCTCATCGTTATTCGCGTTTTCGACGCCATTTGCATTCGCGGCCGTCTCTGCATCCCGCGCATGGTCATTGTCATTCCCCTCGCTCCAATCCCTGCTCGAGCTCTTCCCCCATTCGTTCTCGCCGTCCCCAAGAGCAAAGTCTCTCACTCGCGAAAATCTATGCGCGAAGCAAACAAGGGCTTGAAGGACAAGCACAGTGCGTCGTGCACTGTCTCTGTTCATTTCGATGATGCGCGGTGTAGATATTGTCAATTGCCCCGGCTGTGGTGCCCCCAAGCTGGCGCACCATCTCTGCAACCAATGCTACTCATTCCTGAGCAGAATGTGGAAGCAGTCGAAACAAAACACAAATCCCCCAAAAAACCGTGTTCTGGCTGGGATTGGGAGTCGCGTCGAGCTGCGGGGGCATAGACTATTGCTATACGCGCGCTGTATGTATTTACTAGATCTGCTTTGAATCTTTTCTGCTGCCACCGTTTTTGAGACCTTTTACTTCACGTGAGCGGGTGAAGGTAAATCCGCGGCTACTTCATGTTCGCACAACCACCGTGAGCCGGAGTTTGCTCCGAACTATGTTGGCCAGAAGACTGTTGTCCCGCGCCCAATGCGTTCAGCCAGCACCCATGCACCCCAGGGCATCTCCTCCATTCTCCAAAAGAACCCTGACGATGTGGTTATCACTTTCGCCCAGCGCAGTGCCATCGGCCGCATGAAGAAGGGGCAATTGAAGGACACCACCGTCGACGAGCTACTGCAAGCACTGTTCAAGGTAATTCCCTTCTACACGCGTAAACCCTCTCCAATCTCGGTCAGGCAACTCTGGAGAAAACCAAGCTCGACCCCTCCAAAATTGACGACATTTGCGTTGGTATGTTCCGCATTTGACTTGCAAGCTTTGCCTAAGTTCTGCAACAGGGACGTGTCATCCTCCCTCCCCTCTCTACACCTCTAGAGTGCGGCGTTGGCCGCAGGCATTCCTAACCATGTTCCGATCTCGACTGTGAACCGTCTGTGCTCTCTGGCTTGATGGCAATCCGCAATATCGCCCACGCTATCCAGGCGGGTGAGACCTCCATTGGACTCGCAGTCGGTGTCGACAGCATGACCTGCAGTTCGTTTTGGGCTTCACAATTCTGGCCGCATGTTTATTCGCTTGCTAGTCCTCGTCCCACGCCTCAAATTAGCGAAGCGGTGGACCAGAACCCAGAAGCACACGACTGCATTCAGGTTATTGATATGGCGTCCATTCGAGACGTCCACTGATCATATTTACAGCCCATGGGGTGGACGTCCGAGATGGTAGCACAAACCTACAAAGTCTCGCGCGAAACGCAGGATAAGTATGCGCTTATATCGCACTCGCGCGCCACTGAAGTCCGCCTCCTATTCTTGTCGCGTGATTGTGCTTAACCCGCAGCTCAGGCTCAAGCCAAGGGAATTTTCGCGGACGAAATTATCCCGCTCGAGATCAAAGGTGCTGTCATCTCGGTCGATGACACTATCCGGCCTGGTGTCACGGCGCAGTCGCTGGCTGCTCTCAAACCCGTGTGGCCGGATTGGGGTGCAGGCTCTACGACTGCGGGAAACGCAAGCGGGACAGGTGACGGGGCAGCTATTTGTATTCTCACGACCAGAGCCCGCGCTGAACAGGGGGATGGAGATTCTCGCCAAATGGGTCGGCAGCGCTGTTGTTGGTCAGTTCATTTCCTCCGTGTCTTTCATTTTATTGAAAGCACTCTAGGCTGCGAACCGAAATATATGGGAATTGCCCCGATTTTCGCAATCCCGAAAGTCCTTGAGCAGGTCGGGTTGAAGAAGGAGGATATCGATGTCTACGAGGTGCGTTGGCT